ATTTCTCGACATAGTGACATTGTCATACTAACGATACTAGGATCATGCAAAGAAACGTTATTTTATTTTTGTAAGCGAATACCGTGCATCAGAGTGAAAAAAAATAAGGGATCAAATTTGTTTAGAAATGACGGGATTTCAAGAGTAGTTTTTATTTTAAGAGAAATCAGTTGCGTACTATCATTGTCTGCCAAAATAGGCAAGTAATATCGGTACGAGCGTCCCTAGTAGAAATTAAAAGAAAATTTGTACTTTACAAATTACATCTTGATAGTACATTTATGCTGAATTTTAATGAAGTATTTAAAGCGGTATTACAGATTTCAACAAAAAAAATATTGATTTTAAAAAAAAATATTGCCCCGTTTTTCGAAAGTCAAGACGCTTAGGACATACGATTATATGAAGTTTTCTTCTTAAAATGGATCCAAAAGCCACTCTCTGAAATATTGACATTCAGTTGGAAGACACTATATATTTTATGTAGATAAGTAAATCTAAAATTATTAAAGGTTATTGTAATACACTATTGTAGTTTTTTATTTTGGATGTTTTTTTGGCTATATATTAGTTCATATTTCCTGTTATTAGCTGTACCTTTTAGATATAAAGACTTCATTTGATTACTGATACTTATGTGTTTTGACGTACTGTCTATGAATTCTTTAACAATTTTATGTATCATATTTTTCAGTTGGCATTTGCAAAATATGAATAAAAGAATACTTGATAAAATAAATATTTTTTATTCTACATTGTATACTCACAAAAATACAATAGGTTCGTTCAAAAATATCTAGAAATATAGATTTTATCAATTTTTAATCCTTTTCTCTTAAAACAAATGTTTTTTCTCTAGCATGATGTTAACTAGATTATATGCTATTTTCTAAATTACAAGCTATGTAAATAGGGCTAAAAAGATAACTAATTAATTACAAAGAAATCTTTCTAGTTTGGGGGTTCATTAGATCATTTTGGAAAGTTAATTAACTCTAGGTACCAAACTTCTTCAAATATCCAATGTAAATATATTGACTCTTCTTTTTTTCCCTCTAATAATGCTCTTTTCAGTAGATTTATTCTGTCCTGGAACAGTATCTTGTACCCTGGGCTTATCAGGATGGGATGTATCTTTGAGCAATGCAAGTAGATCTGAAAAAATACTATTATAAGTAATGGTTATTACTTATCTTTTAGTCCTAAGTACCGATATTACCATAAGTGTTAAAATATGTATTTTATATAGCATTTTTGCTAGATCACTGGATTTTTATTTTTGCGATTGTTATCATTGGCCACTGTGCTGTGATGTCAGGTGTTCAATCTCAGCCCATGGCATCAGCTTTGTGAGATTTTGTCAAATAGAAATGTTGTTTCGTGTGACATTTTAGCTCTCACATGCAACATTAACCATTAGACATTTGAGGAACCCCTGCCCACGCATAACAAAGCTCCTCTTGAACTCGATAGCTTTTAACTTTTATGATTATACAGACTTATGCCTACCTTTAATTTACAAATTGCAGTGTAACACATGTCAGTCACAAAAACCAAATTCACCTTTTTATTTCTGTATGGTTGGCTCCTTCAAATATTCTTTCAAGTGCCTGGATGCATGAATCCATTCTTAGGAAGATCATTCGCCTCTGTATCCTTCCAAAACAGATATATGGAGTTTTGTATGCAATATCACGATATTTTATATCTGCAAAAAAGATGCATAGATTTAAGAAACATTAAAAATTTTATACCTTGGTGTGGGATATGTTACAATTTTATAAAGATATTTTTTAGAGATATAGTCTGAAATTTTGAGGTTAAGGTTCCCACTAATATAAAAAAACAGCTAGTGCAGGGCATGTTTAAACTCACATATGATACATACTTGTAGCCTGACACCATGCAATCAAAAGTCTAACAATGATTTGTGAACAGCCATCTCCGACATCAATGCAGTTGCACTTGGGATACAATGTTTCTTATTAATCATCTCATAAAGTCTGTGGGAACTAACCATATCTGAAAAAAAATGCGATAGGTATATAAATATGAATATGCAATGTTTAATTTCGTAACTTACCTACTTTCATCAAGGAACAGCTTGGTTATAAGCTGTTAGGCAAATATATATATATATATATATATAAACTTGAGACGTGGTCATTGTCGTCTAGACCAGTTAGGTGAAAAATTAAAGCTTCCGCCTTTTGTTGGGTACTTCGACAAAAATTTTAAGCAAGGAGGACTCTTTAAACTTTTTTTAGAGAGAATAAAAAAAGTATAAAGAGTCCTCCTTGCTTACAGTTTTTGTCGAAGTACCCAACAAAAGGCGGAAGCTTTAATTTTATATATATATATATATATAACGTGAGCGGTAGTCATTGCCAACGCCAACGACCAGTTGGGTACAAAATACAATTAACTGTTAATTGGGAAATTGGCAAAACTCTTAGGCTTAAGTTGACTCTATGGAGCCTTCATCAGGATTCTGAAAACAAAATTGTGATGCTAGCAAAGAAAACAGGACAGATTTAAATTGTCAGACAACTTACTCGTCGGTGAGGTTGCAGCCACAAGGTGTTTCAGAACGAACGTAGAGAAGATCGAACTTATAATCAGTATAAAAACAAAAGGACGGGGACATTGGGTTTGTTGTAAAACGACAGATACCTGCTTTAAATGTTAAAAATATCAATCCACCCGAACAAGTTAAAAATATTACACGTGAGACGACATTTTGTTGAAACAATGGGAATGCAGTCTCTAACCATCTGTTTCCGCATCACGTGGAGAGGGGGATGGCACGGAAAGATAAAGCGTCCACAGATGACAAGTGATTGACGCGACGGACCGTGGAACTGTAAACCTCCCTGTCCAGCTTTGGGTATGAAGTATACGAGGGACGCTCGGTAAACCTCCACCCAAAATTAATAAAATGCTGAAATAACTTGTCTTGGAAAAAATGGTGTAGTTCCTATGAGTGTAAGAATGTGTGATATTGATACAACCTTGAAAAGATGGGTTATGTGAGTCTATATTAAAAATGTGAGTGAGAAGATTATATAATATATATATATATATATATATAACAACAAGTTATATTCTCTATATATATAAAGAGTAAATTATCATGCGGAGAAAGGTATATAACAAAAATAGGAAAATAATGGGCAAAATCCGCAAAAAGTGGATTTGAGCAGAATAGGATAGGTAACCCGAGCGATACGTATTTCTGCTGGTTGGCTTCATCAGGCCCGAAATGAATGCACATATGCAACTACAAAAGTAGAGACACATGCCCATACATCCGGATACGGGTGTAACCTAAGGAAACAAAGATGGAGAGGAAAAAAAGTACCACAGCAAGTGGCTATAACCGGCCGCGTAGTTGTGGTTATTTGTCGCCTTGAAAATTCTAGGTCTTCTAGCCATTTGATACTACAATGTGTAGGTTGGCTCTTGTTGTGTGTCTTTTTTTTCCTCTCCATCTTTGTTTCCTCAGGTTACACCCGTATCCGGATGTATGGGCATGTGTCTCTACTTTTGTAGTTGCATATGTGCATTCATTTCGGGCCTGATGAAGCCAACCAGCAGAAATACGTATCGCTCGGGTTACCTATCCTATTCTGCTCAAATCCACTTTTTGCGGATTTTGCCCATTATTTTCCTATGTTTGTTATATATATATATATATATAAATACACATCCATTTGCATTAAATTTTTCATTTTAGATGACATACTATTATCAAAATCAAGTATACGATACGAGCCTACGGCCACTAGCGCTCTACAAAGAGTTTGGCAGCCAAAGTTAATTTGTTTATCTTTGACAGCAGTATATTGGCTTTCGTAACAGCCTACTATGTACTTATTTTTCACTATCTTTGCAAGCATAATAGGTATATGGTCATCCTCCTACTCATACTTCGTGCCCGAGGCTAACGATTTGTGATATCGTCCTTGTTGAGCCACTTAATTCGGCATGCTAAAGAATTTTGAGAAAAAAAGCTGATTGTTTTAGAAGTAAGATAATAAGAATTAGACTCAAATTGATCGTTTCCACAATTACTAGTTGCGATTTTAGACAAACAGAGGAACGTAACATCGGTAATATCAGGAGTATATCAAGAAAAAAAATGATAGGACATTTAAAGCTATTTTATAAAATGCACATCTTTCCTCCCAAACGTCTAGTGGCGTAGAAAATATTCCAGATACATAAGTTTCTACGCCGCTGGGTTGGTTGGGCCGGGAAACTTCGTATGTTTATGATGTGCTTACTGAACGTCTCAGATATTAACTCAGTATCTTAACCTCCGTAGACAATTTTTTTTCAACTTCGTAAGCAAAACTTATCACCCTGTATCTTGGAACGGGAGCATCTTTGCACCCATATTTATAGAAACCTTCTTTGTTATTTTTATATGTACTTTCTACCCTAGAAATATTGGCACGTCTTGAAACATCACATATAGACGTTATGCCATATTCCTAGACTATATCAACGTGAAAACTAAAGAAAATAACCTTATACATATAAGAACGAATTATATATTATAAATTATATGTAGAATTCGAAAATGAAACAAAATACCGGCGCTGCAATTTGAAAAAATGAAGTTGATGCTCACTCTGTATATTCAAAATAAAATAAGTCTTTGAATTGAGCCAATAAACTTCTGTATTTAACATTTTTTGTATAACCACTGCTTTATGAGGTAAGTGGGTGGATCACGTAATGGTAGCCTCCCTGTACTATATGCTATACTCGCAGTATTCATTTTTAGGGCTGAACAGGACTTCGCAGCTTTTGTAGAAACGTACAAACATAATTGATTGATAATTGATGGAGAAAATTTATTCCACTTAACTGTTACATGTGAACGGAATCTAAGGAATGAATGAGTCTTTCTCTGATGTTGAAATAATGTTAAATACGAAATTGAGCGCAATGCTTTAGAAGATGTTTCTCTACATTTTTTCTCATTATTGTAGGTCTATGTTAAAAGAAATCAAGCATACAGGAATGCTACATTTTATCCTAGATTGCGAAACCGAGAATATACTGGAAGTACTCAAAGAAGCCAATGAACAGAAACTTCTTACCGAGTTTCATAGCTACATTCTTACAAGTTTGGTGAGTATGCCTATAAGTTTTCCAAATCAGACTACAAAAAAAAAACATGAGGAGCGACCTTCAGAAGATTTCCCAAGGTCCATTCAGTCATAATATGTGGTTAAACTTAACTAAACCTAATTTCGCTCATATACATATTTTTAGTGTTACGTTACTAGCTATTTCAAATTAACTGTTACACAATAATACCAATATACCGCCAGGAGATATAAAGAAGAGGCGTGTGAAAGGAAGTCTCATCATGTCAGATATGTTGCTTGGATAAAGAATCTGCACGGATATTACAAAAGACTTAAAAGGCATGTTGCAGGTCAATAAGGAGAAAAAGTATAAACATATTAATCAATCGATTAATAGATTGGAAACGTTAAATACTACTGTGTCTATAATTTCCTACTGTTTGGTCGAAATTATAGTCATGTTTCCATCGCTGTATTTAAGAAATGAGCTGGTAGGTTAGTTAGTTAGATCCTCCACTGCGACTCTCTGGTCTATTGTGGCTCACACCTATTTATATTTCCCCAGTAGCTCCGACCTCCTGAGGAAGTTGATCAACTTGTTTGGAGAAATATCCTTCAGGTGTTCTGCTTGGAGTACTACGTGTTCGGATGTTGTACCTGATTCTGGCAATTGCAAGGCATCTGCACAATACATGCCTGACCGTTTCATCTCCCTCCATGCACAGTCTGCACTCAGCGTTTTCCGCCATACCCAGCCTACTTATGTGGTGATGCAATTTGCAATGACCAGTGTACAGTCCAGCTAGAGCTTTGAGGCTATTCCTGTTTATCCGTAGCAAAGCGTCTGTTACCTTCTTTGGATCATTCTGTCTGCAGAGATTATCTGTTTAGCCGTATTGTATGCGATCCCAATCGCTGGCTCAGGCCCTATGAAGGGTGTGCTAGCTCCACCCTTTGCCAGAGTGCCAGCTGTCTCGTTTCCCTCTAGACCTGGGTGTCCTGGTATCCATATGAGACGGACTTCATTTCACTCCCTATGCCACCGAGAGCTTCTTTGCAATTCCACACTAATTTCGATGTCGAGTAGGTGGAGTTAAGTGCTTTAAGTGCGGCTTGACTATCTGAAAAAATAATTATAGGCATGTGTCTCAGTTGTCGTTCTGCGATCATTCTGGCATCCAGTTCTATAGCATATAGCTCTGCCTGGAAGATCGAAGCCCAGGTTCCTAGGCTAACAGTTTAATCTTCAGCTTCGGTACGAAGATTTCAGCTCCAACACCTACTTCGGTCTTGGAGCCATCTGTGTATGTACAGATATCTTTCCTTATCAATTTAACTTGCTGTTCCCTCTCATTCCTGTGTGGAATTGTCACTGTTTAGCATATCTAGTTATCTTTGACATAAGCTGTTATTCAGGACACATGTTCATAACAGGAATTCTCGCGTTCTAACTATTCCAATACCTCGGCTAGCCATGTTTTAGCTTAATATATATAAATAAATTTGTTTAACAGTTTCATATTATTTACACCATCCAAAGCTCCAAAAATTTATATACTCGTCTATACCGGAAACGGAAGTCGGTCGAATTACACTTAAAAAGTTTCCGAGTATTTCCGGAGAGAGACGGAAAAACTGCAAATCGTTTTCATTTTTTCCTCACTTCATTTGAGATAGGACTTAAAACTAAAACATTCACTGGTTTTATCCGCGAAAGTATACAGAGTGGTCAAAAAGTATGGATAGATCCAAATATCTCGGAAAGTACATTTGCTAGGAAAAATGTTACAGAAATAAGGTGTAGAGGTTTGAAAAGATACATCCACTGGTGATCTGTAAGGTGACCTGGACTATGACTATCTAGGCCATTTGAAGGTCAAGACAGTTTTCTTAATGGAAACCCCATTTTGCTGAAAATTTTGCGTTGTAGAGTATTTTTGCCCATGATCTTGACCATGATCTTCTTGAGTATTTGAGGGTGGCCAGAAACTATGGAATCAGAAAATATCTCGAAAAATATGTTCCATAAAGAAAAATGTTGTGTAATAAATTTGTAAGGTTTGAAAAGAATCATCTAATGGTAACCTTGGACGTGACCTTGGCTATGACCTTGGAAGGTCAAGACAGTTTGCTTAAATAGAAACCAATATTTTTGATACCGGAAATAGAAAGTGCAAGAAATTCTATGTTCAAGTATGTCCACGACCAAGGTCATTTGATTTTTTAGCGCGATACATCTATTTTTAATTCCTGAAATGCAATTGCGGACAAATTTAAGTTCAAGCATACATTTGCCAATGAACCTTATTACGACCTTCAAGGCCATTTTAAGAACAGATAAATTTTTAAGTAAACACCTTTCTTTTTGTCGAGGATATCAAAAGCAAAACACTGAAATTAATTTATTGTTGAATAAAGAATGTTCATTGCCAAAGTAGACAGTTTCTTGAATGAAAATAGCTATTTTTGATACCGGAAATAAAAAGAGCATGAAACTTTATGTTCGAGTTCAAGATGATTTGAAGATCAAATGAAATTTCAACGAGAAACATCTATTTTGAAATTCTGAAATGAAAATTGCGAACAAATTTAAGTTCAAGTATACATTTGCCAATGATCCTATTATCTCCAAGGATATTTTAAGAACAGATGAATTTTTAAGTAAACCCCTTCATTTTTGTCGAGGATACAAGTAAGCGAAACATTGAAATTAATTTATTGTTGGTTATAAAATGTTCAGTGCCAAAGGAACTATCGAATAACTTTGAATAATGCATCTTTCTCCGAAACCAATCTCCCTCACACTAATGCGAAACGACTGACCTATTCTTTACACTACTTCCAAGCGAATGGAGCCACGGGCTTAGTATAGTAAAATAATAGAACAATTAATAGAATTATTTTTTGCCGCAAAGATTCATTACATTTTTGAGTATTTACGATATCCCTGTATTTCCCTTTTTCGTATAATTTTTCATACTACCTGTTTGGATTATTTCGAATTAATGTTATCATACATATAAAGAGATATACCAAGTTTCTAATCTTCTATGTAGACTACGTTAGGTTCAAGGGCGGACACAGGGGTGGTAATGGGTGTCATGACCCTCCTTGGCCGAATCGATATTGACCACTAATTATTTTTGCCCTAAGGGAGTCCGCTCTCAGAAGTACTACTGCTCGCTCTCCATTTTGAAGTTGTTGATACCCGCCTCCTGACACGCACATCTTCCTGAACATAAATCCTGCCACCACTGCGCCAGCCCCTCACACCTCCAGACAAAGGCGAGGTCCGCTCTTGATTGGATTAGATTGGGTTAGATATGTTGGTCGGTTATGTAAAGTTTGAAGTGGGACTTCACGTTTGCACTATCGTATTGTGGTGAAAACACCGTTCTTACTGTTCAAAGACTAATTTATTACTGTAACGCTAATTTTCAACACTTACAACTCATTCATAACTAATGTATATTTATGTAGGCTGGACAATTATTAAGTTCTGAAGGTATTGCGGTTATTTTTGAGACCGTTAGAGTCTGGACAACAAATGAAATAGAGCTCATGGGAGACATAGGATCTTGTGAAAGGATGGCCGAGATTTTTTTACATATCAGTTTTTTTGTCTAATTATTTGCAGGATGCTCATACGTTGAACTGGTTCGAGCTGAAAGGTGTCAGTTCCAACATAACAGCATTTAGACTTGTTGATCCTTCCAGCAATATCGTGAAAGAAGCAGCTTCGGTTTGGACGCTTGTCATGAAGTACAGCGAGGACTACTTGCATCCTTACTGGAATGCTTCAGAGGATATTGACCTCTTTAATAATAAGCACTTCTCTGAAATAACTTCTTTTAACATTAGGGTGAGTAACGAATAAAACATTGTAAGATGTTTGCAAACTTAGTATTTGTATGTCACGGAAGCTCGTGATGATTTACTGATGTAGTTGAAAGGGGTTTGGAGTCAGAAATATTTAAAAATCTGAAGTTTGTTTCTTAACGTATTCCAAACGTCCGATTACTTTAGGGTGTAGTCCGAGATATTTTAAACAGAATAAAGATTTAAAAACTATTCAAGTGCTCCATTCATTATGATTATAGTGTCAACATGGCCAATGGTAATCAGGATTTCTCAATTTGACTCTTGAGTCTTATGTTCAAAAGCACTTGATATATTTAAAATTTGTGTCAGTACATAATCAGCGACTAGATGATGATGCATGGGAAGTATTCAGTCAATCTTGACATTCTTTTCTCCTGCATACGCCACCTACCAAAAGTGGTAGCCTTCGGACTTCTAAGGACAAAACTCAAATCTCATCCTCTTGCATCTTGGATACCCTGTCATATACATATAGAATATAAGTTATAGTTCAAAACTATAAAGACAAATACTCATTTAGGTCTGCAATGTTATTTGTCATTGATTATATTTCATCATGTTCCAGACGAAGACAGCTCTCTTTTATGATGCGGTCAATTTATTCTTTAACACTTTCGCAGAGATGGAGAAGAAAGAACTATTGATTATAAAACCACTGTCCTGTCAAGCAAGTGAAAAATCTTCTCATGGTACTAAGTTATCTCAAGCTTTAAAAAAGGTAAATAGAACATTGGGGGAACTGACTGAGACATCATTGTGCCAAGTAGACTTAAATTTACTCGAAGTGGTTAGATATATTTCCATACGTAAGAGCCGTTTTACACACAAGAGAATTACTCCGAAAATTATGGTTATAATTATGCCGAAAATTTGCATGGAAAAAATATTTGAAGATTTTCTCTACAACCTGTATGACACAAGCAAACAAAATTTCGGACTGATTCATATGATACGCCTGCGCATTAGAGTAATAGTTTCGAATGGACATAACCTTAACGGGTATGACGTTCAATATAATCGGAAAGACAACAGACGTCGTTGATTTAAATTTATTTTTGAAATCGAGATCTTGATTAATATTATAAAACTTCTCAATGCTTGGACTATCGCATCCAGCGCCTGACGCCGCAAATTTCTGTTTTTGTAATTGGGTGACTTCACCTTGTACAGGTTTGGCCATTTTTGGTACTCCTCCAACAACAGTGTAACTTCTTCGCTTCTTTCTGATTCCACGACATTATGAATAAACAATAACAATAAACGCTCCTTCGTACGACTCCCACAAATGTTAAGTGAGGTTATGTTGTTGTCGTTGACATTTGATATTGACGCACGGAAATAACCCTCTGCGCCGTTTCTCGCGCATATTCTATAGAACGGGTTTTATATTTTTACCATGAAAATTTTCACAAGAATTCTTTTACGTGTAATACGACAGCAAAAATTTTCGGCATAATTATGACCATAATTTTCGGAGTAATTCTCTTGTGTGTAAAACGGCTCTAAGTCAATAATGCTATTTAACTTGATCGAACAGATCTAAAAGGAATATTACTCACATAAATAATGTAATCTAGTATTTGTATATGGATATTTACTATTATGTATACAGATATACATACAAGGTAATTCAGGAAAAAGTGTCAGTTTTTCAGTAAATCATGAAATAATACGATAACTTCATATAAATATGGGTCTTACCATGATACAGGGTGTTGAAGTTATAATCGAAAGGCTTCAGGCAACAAAATACCTAAGCCTATAACATCACGTTTATTGCTTAATTTCGACTGAAATGCTACACAATAGTCTTACATTTTGTGGAACAAAGATTTGGTGTCGGCAAAATCGTAATCGGGTTGATGAAAATAAGTTTTACTCCAAAGGTAATTTTAAAATAGTTTATTTTATAAATATACAATATGTTCAATTGACAGAATTTGACAGACTACTCATCTACGGTATAGTTCTTGTTCGTGTCAGATATGGATCCAAATGGTATGAAACTGAAAAAGGTCACGCACATAAATTTATTTGGTGGAGGGAGTTTTCAAAGTTGAGTCATTTATTTTAACAGCTTATGGAACTCGTCAAAACAAGTTGATATACCAAAAATCACCTATATAAAAGTTGCATAATAAGAGCGTTAGTTTGCATTATTAAAAATTATTTAAAGTATCTATATCAAGTTAAATGGATACCGTTTTTACAAAAACTGTTCAAAATTGTGCTCATTTGTTTGATTAACGCAAAATCTTGCTCGGCGAATCAACGACTCTTTACAAGCTTCGAAAATAAAATCCTAGTGTCCAGGAATTAAATCACAAGCATTTTCAGTGCGCTATTGAAGTTCTTCCAGACTATTTGCTGCTTCATCAGGATACAATAACTCTTTCAAATAGCATCAAACAAAAAAACGCGAGGCGTTGAATCCGGGGAGCGAGCAGGCCAAAAAATGGGTTAATTGCGCCCTGTCCATCTATTCGGAAACTGATTATTTAGATGTTCATGAACTTCTCGTCTAAAACGTGGTGGAGCCCCATCATGTAGGAACCATATATTCTGTCTGACACTTGGAGGAACATCTTCTAATAACTGTGGCAGATTGTGTCGAAGAAAATCTAAATAAATTTCACCGGTCAGTCGAGGTGGAAAAAAATACGGTCCATTTACCATGCCAGCCCAAAGATTTAACGAAAATCTAGGTTGAAAATGAGTTCTTTTTACAGCATGCGAATTTTCTACTGCCCAAATATGTTTAATTAATTTCGTAAAATCTTCATTTCTGCCGAATTGTTCTAGAAGTCACTGACAAAATGCAACTCTTCTAGGATGAACTTCAGGTTGTAACGCTTGTATCCGTTGATAATGTCTTCCACACTTTACTATGAGAAACTTCAACTTGAGCTGTTATGGCTCTAGTACTCATTGTCGTGTCGTCTTTGACCATTTCTAAATTATCTTCCTCATTTTGTAATATTTCAGGCTGAGCAGGTCTTCCAGCGTAACCTCCTCGTTGGTCTTTTAAATATCCTGTGCCACGAAGTCTAATAAGTAAATTTACAAACATCCGTGGGGCCGGATGATTTCTTAAAGGAAACTATTCCGCATACAACCTGCAGGCTGCGATTGAATTTTATTGGTACTCTTTGTATGTTAGTGTTGTGACCACTAGTTCTTTGTTTTCGTAAACAAGGGCCATTTTTTCGCACAAAATGATCAGACAAATGAAAGTATATGCACTATTGAGTCTGATGCAACTGATCGAACCAAAGACTCGTAGATACTGAAAAGCATACAATAACATAAAAAATTTGCCAAATTTAGATAAACGATAAGAGTAGTAAGCAAAAAACGCTAAGTTTTTACTCGGCAGTAATCGAGAATATCAAAAAATCTGTGTAACAACATTCTTATTTTTTCAAAATTTTTAATCTGTTACTATTTCTTTTATTATGTTGATTTTTGGTAAATCAACTCCTATGGACGAGTCCTACAAGCAGTTAAAATAAATGACTGAACTTTAAAAACACCATGTATAACGGCAATAAATTCATAAGTCACTATCAGAAATCTTCTCGGTCAGACGGTAGTATCTCTCCTTCACACTGAACTGAATGCAGCACGGTCTTTGTTCTCTGTACCATAAAAACATCCACTGTTTTCACCAGTCATCAATTTCCGTGTGGCGCCCATCTTGGAATTTAAGTGGAAATATTGTGTAGGATAAAGTGGCTATTCAAAAACGCCTTTTAGAAATTATAGAGCCATCTATCAGCGCATTGTTAAAAAAACAACTTGAGACGAGATATCTACGCTTCGGGTGCTTTTAGATGAAATTGTGGCTTTTTATTCAAATGTGGCTTAGGTACCTTATTGTCCCATGTGCTTTGATTTCAAAATCGAAAATAAATATAACTTCGGGGTGAATTAAGTTATGAACTTAAAATTTTGTGCATGTAATACAGCAAAGTAGTGAACAAATAAGTCAATATGTTTTACTCGCATTCATTATACCGGAAGTATTGATATTTTGTAACTCATTCGAAAGCCGTTATTTAAGTTTAAGAATTTCATAAATTATAATTCGTAGGTTCACAGCGAGGTAGGTTTACTATCTGGGCCAATTAAAGGATTCGACTCATACGGCTACAGGAAAAACTTTCAACTGAAAATAGTTGAATTAGATGAAAAAAGATTCAGAACCATTGGAACTTGGACACCACAGAAGGCTGACAAGATAGACTTTACAGTTACTGTTGAAGATAGAGACACCGAAACCAAAAGAAAGATTCAGCAAATGACTTTCAGAGTTGTATCAAGGTGAAAATTAGTCATTTAACCACGCAGATCTCCAAAAGTCGTCAAAGAACAAAATTGTGTTAGAATAGTCCAAATTATTGCCCCTTGAATGTTTCCCTGTTTTAAAACACACCCTGAAGGTTACAAACTTACACCTCATAAGTATCATCTTGGAACATTGTAGGGTTGGAGCACCTTATTTTATCAGAAAGGAAGATCCGCCTGGAAGGATTCTGAAAGGCAACGATCGTTATGAAGGATATTCGATAGATTTAATGAAAGAGATTTGTAAGCCAAACAACCTAAACTGTAGCTTTACGTTTGAACCTGTATCTGATGGAATGTATGGTAACTACGACCCAAATACAAAGAAATGGAATGGACTCATAAAGGACCTTATTGAATTCGTAAGTATAGTATTTTCTCAAGTGCCTTTTAAATTCCTCATGCCTGGTATATTAATAAATCCAACAGTTTTCGTTGATACATTGTATCGATCCACCTGGTTGCGTCTCTCTGAAAACCTTTATACATGTACAGGCAGAAAGTACTTTCAAAAATAACAGATTTTTTCTATAAACACATTAATTCAAAAAGACCATTTGTCACTTATCGACGTACAAGCTGCTGAAACTATAGATGATGTTAGAGCTTAATTTTTGGAAAGAAAAAACGTATTTCTATGCACCATAAGGATTTTGAAGCTGAAATTAATGTTTGCTTTCCATCCCAGTCAACATGAAAAGCTGCATACAAGGTTGTTTCGTGCTTTTTAGCAATCATCCGCAAGGTACAGGTTTAGTCTTGAGGAGAACAGAAAACAAACAAGCGGGTATGGCCTACTGAAAGGCTCAGTATGTTGTGCGCCAAGAGGTATCAATACTGACAACTGTCATGACGGAAGGACCCTACGCTTTAGCCCTACGTGTTCTAGGAACCGATATATGTCGCTCACCATCATCTTTATCAAGCTTTGGCGAACTATTTGTAGGTGGCAGTTTTCAGTGTTGGTACCTCTTCGCACGCAACGTACCGAGTTTTCCCGTAGACCATACCCGCCAGCACAAAGCACGTAAGACTGAAGAAGTGGGAGCTGCAAGTTAAACAATGGCACCGTTGACGTTTGTCAGATGGTTGCTCCGCCTACTTGCCTGAGATCTGGAGGAACTATCGAAAGAATTCTAAGAATGCGCCTGGAATAAGGAATGATAGGAATGTGCCTGAGATTTCGGTTGTTCGTAATTTAAAATCTGCTGAAAATGGGATTTCCGATATTGACGGATTATTTCATGAACATACATATATTCAAAAAAATAAGATAAAAGTCTATTTCATCCCAATATTTCTAGGTTACAAATTGTGCATGGGAATGCATCCTATAGCTCTAACTCTGAAACAATATTAAGGTCAGTCTCTATTTATCATTATTAGTGAAAGGTCGGCAGTAATAGTGGATGGCAGTATTTCAATAACTCCCTAATGGCCCTTATTTCGGCTGAATGACGGGTCAGCCACAGAACACCTTTTTTAGAACGAAGGACAGTGTGCAACAGTGACCTGTGTTTATGACGCTCTTGTGAGGTGTACGTAACTATATAGGGGAGCGTTTCTCAACCTTTCAACAAGTCTACAGGTGAGAGAGGTTCCAAAAATAAAATCAAGAAAATATTCTCAAGAATGATTAAATTTTGGGCTTACATGTACTGAAGTCAATGAAGAAGAGAAGCCTCTGTGTATCATTGGTTTAAAAACTTTAGCACCAGATAGCATGGAACCTAATAAACTTAAACGACATTTGGAAACGCTTCATAGTGAGTACGTTAACAAAACCCGAGAATTCTTCGAGTTAAAATTGAAATCATACGAAAAGCAAAAATCATTCTAAAAAAATACTTTGACTGTGAATGCAAAAGCTTGACTTGCCTTTTATTAAGTTTCATATGAAGATGTAAGAAGAGTGGCGAAGAGCTTGTTTTGCCAGCTGCAATTAAAATCGTTGCGAGACAAGTTTTTTTTTATATATCGAAGCAGCCGCGCAGGCATAAGCCTAAATGCCGGAACACCGCGGCTTCTATGATGATCCCAAAGAAATTTTGCTAATACGATTTTTGAACTGCCTAAGGTTAGTAGATCTGTGGAAAGCTTCCTCTTGTAAATTGTTCCACAATCTCGACACCCTGGGACAAAAGAGCGGTCGTATCGGCCAGTTCTGGATGTACGAAATTCGACACGGTTAGGATGGGCGGGTCTGTCTGGCAGGCACATCGCGCGGCGGTATCATGGAAGAGAGCTCTAAGGAGCAAAGCTTGTTGGTATAGCGGTAGAAAAGAGCTAGATCGCCGAAGGCCCGCCATCCTCTGGAAAGCATCGAGAATAAATAATGTAGTCGGGATGGCAGCACGCCAAACGTGTGAGCACTACTCGAGGCTAGGCGTTATCTGGGCCTTGTATAGAGTGAGAAGGTCATGCGAAGACGAGACGCGGGGGAAAAAAGTAGGGCTCATCACCAGCTGGGTCAGCCCTTGGGTAAGAGCGAACGCTTCGACTGCACGACCTGCTGCATCGGTCTTGTTTGAGCCCAACCAAAGCTCATTATGGGCATTGAAATCACCGAGAACTACCTCTGAAGCGGGGTGATTGATGTTCAGGAAGTCGATCTTGACGGCGATTTGATCAAGTAGGTCATGCCAGTTATGGTCCGAGGAAGAGCCATAAAGGCAGCAAATAAATTTGGGTGATGTTTTGGAGTTGAGGCGAAGCCACAGAATGTCCTTCCAGTCTGATTCCAAAGAAACGTCTCTGGAGCAGGAAAGACTGCTGCCGCCAAAGCCACAACACCCCGTTCCTTTTCAGATTAGAGAGCACCTCATAATTTGGGAGGCTAAAATGGTTAATCGGTGCAGACTCTGAATGAACAGCATCACTGTTGCTGTTAATACCGCAGATGTTAGTGAAACAAATTTTATCTTCGATGTTGTTCCCTCGAGCTCACCCTCGGACATTCCGAGAGTGGAGTGAATTGTTTTCAGTTCAGCTTGATGAGACAACGGACAGCAATAAAGATTATAATCTTATTGCCTACGTTCGATTTTGTGATGGCATATCAGTAGTAGAAGAACTACTTTTCTGCAAACCAATGGAAATCAAAGCAACAGCTCTCGCTCTTTTTGCTATCTTGAATGATTATATAATCGAGGCAAACATAGAGTGGAAGAATTGCGACTGAGTATGCACCGATGGGGCTCGTTCAATGTTAGGAAGATTTGAAAGTATACAAGCTCTTGTAAAACAAAAATCTGCACTGTGCTACGGTTGTAACATTAGTTAATTACATAAAAACTGAGACCTTTGAAAACTAGGATCTTTTCTGCACTTTGTAAAGATATGGGTGCAGTACATTCCGCATTACTATACTATTGCGAGGCTGGGAAATGTTTACAACGTGTTTTTGAATTACGGCATGAAATCGCCGTTTTTCTCTAGAAGAAGAAAATTCACTGGAAGCCGAGATGTTTCGAGATGGCTTATTTCTGATGAAATTGAACTACTTGGTCGACATCTTCGAGAAGCTAAATATCTTGAACCATCAGATCCAAGGAGCAAATACACATATATTGGATACGAGTGATAAAGTTAACGCTTTTTGTAGAAAACTGGCATTGTGGAGCAGAAATTTAAAGCAAAAAAACCTGGAAAATTTTCCAAATGTGGATAAATGTATTAAAACTTACAAGGTTGAAGAACAACACATGAAAGTTGTTCTCATAACCATTGAAAATCATTTAGCGAGGCTGACAAAGAATTTTAAAAAAATATTTCCTGCCGACGATAAATTAATACTTGGTGACGAGTGGATCATGAATCTGTTTCAAATTACTCCCGAAGGGCACTCAACTGCCGAAGAAGAAATCTTCATAAACATGACGGCAAACGCCGAAATTAAAAGTCAGCTTAATAATAAATCCCTCTTTGAATTTTGGGCAGGGGTGAACTATGAGTTTTCGGCACTGAAAGCCAGAGCATTTCGTATATTACTACCATTTTCAACATCCTACCTTTGCAAAACAAGATTTTTGGCGGTGGCTGCTTTGAAGACCAAATATAGATGGCAATTAAATATAGAAAAAGAACTCAGAGTGTCTATTTCAAATATTAAACCTTGATTCGACAAGCTAGCCTCGGCAAATCAGGCCCAAGGCAGTCACTAGTAATTATTATTATTTTTTACAATTAATATTATTAAACTAATCTTTAATTTAGTATTGATAAATACTGCCCTGTTTATAAGTGTACCTAGTATATCAGTGTTAATGTGTATTTTATTTTTGGTTATGTCAGAATTTTGCTTCTCTTCCCTTTTAGTAATTTATTCAATATTGTTTTTCTTTCTGATACGCTCGCGCCCCCTTTTAATATTGACACGCCCCTCAGGTTGAGAAACGCTGAGATAGGGCAAAAACAACGGGTGTATGAGTTCTGATTAACGTGTTTTAATTGCTTATCAAAACTGTATTTCACCTCATTTATAGAAAAATATTTCACCAACATAATCTTAAGTTTAATTACCAAATTGTAAAGTTTGTGATGAGCTATCTCGCTGCTACTCATTATTGAATCATATCGAATGATGTTCTGACAATTCTGACCATTGAATTATTTGACGATGCAATATTTGTTTGTCTGAACCATTATACAGGGTGTCCCAGAAGTCGACGTCAAGCCGAAACCGGGTGATAGGCAAAGTCATAACAGCTATCAGAAAAATATTTAAAAAAATCTTATGTGTGTTTTGAAAATTATAGGTCTTTGAGAAAGATATAGAAATTTCACACCCTACGGCAGTCTGTCAACCCCTGTTACTCCAAATATTAACTTTTTTTGGATTTTATTTTTACAATACAATGATGAATAATGCATCTTCAAACTGGTGTCTCAACCTTACTGCCAACTTTTCTCGTTCAGGAAAAATTGCCACTTATTTCCCAAACAACTATTCCAAAGTAAAACTTTGCTCAACTTTAACTGGCTGTACTGGAAAAAAATGTACTACGAGAGTATTGGCAAGTAACCTTAAAAGTTGGCGCATTTAATAACGATTCCAAAATGGTATAACACTTAGAAGATTACTCGTTAACTTATGCACAATTTTTATTTGAAAAGAAACTGATGAAAATTATTCAAAATTTACTAATTAAACAGCGATTATGAAAACGCACAAGGACCCTTAAGGATAACTGTTTGCACAACAGAGGGCGTCAAAATGCTGCTGATGATGATTTACCTTTACAGCAAATGCTCAAACTGTTTTCCTTCAGCCGCAATACACGCTCGACATCGAATCCACGGTTATTAACAAACTGAGCTGCTTCCAATAGTCTTTGCCGTAGCTCTGCTACATTTTAATCGG